AGATAGATAGATAGATAGATAGATAGATAGATAGATAGATAGATAGATAGATAGATAGATAGATAGATAGATAAATAATAGATAGATAGAATGAATATAGTCATCACTGCTTTTCGTAGACGGTGCGCCACCGCATTACACCTCGATAATGCTATACCTTCAGTGCTGTCATATTTACTTTTCTCGCTGCTCATTGTTATGATACTATTGAAGATAAGGAAAATCGATTCTGCTTTTCTCAAAGTTTTCCTCTGTCGACTACTATAAGCAAAATATTCTCGTGAGACCATAAATTGTTTTGCCGTAAGTGCGCCTTGTAATTCGCTAAGAGATCCTTGGAAGGTGGCAAGTGACACAGTAGGTTTTCAAAAAGTTATGCATTAGGTGATAGTGCTCGCAAAGCTTCAAAAGTTCTACCAGAACAAGATGAACATCGAGAATTGCTAAGATGCACCATTAGCTCTCTTATTTTCGGACCTTCGAGGGTCATCACGCGGCCGTCAATTGCGACTTCTGCACGCTCGTGTTTGAGATTCACTGATCCTGAAAATGACAGACTACTTCCACATGCTTAACAGCAATTAAAAGTGACCCAGCTCTTACCTAGTATCTCGTAAGGATCCAACTGAATCACGCAAGGCGCAACGTAACTCATATGAACGGGTGCAAAATCTTTGTCCATATAGACTGAAGCCTGGAGTAGGATGGGATGTTGTGTAAATTGTGTAAATGGTGGTATTGACGTGCCACAAAAAAAAATGAGATTGATATACGTCATCCAATTTAAGATACCTACACCAGCTGCTTTTAATTGAAGACCTAAATTTTTCGATAGCCTCAACCAGATTGTTTGCTCAAAAACCAATCACGCCAACAAGGGAAGGGACAGACTCATTTCTTGCCGGACCCATTACTTTGCTTATAAGTACGACATGTGGTGTCATTTCATCACGCGATTAACCCTTTCAGGACAGTGAGTATTTCAACGTGACGCGCCCATGGGACTACGCCCTCCTTTTGCGCGCGAATGGCACCTACCGGTGGATGCCATTGTCCCAGGAGGAAGTTTCTCACTGGCTCATTGATAGCAACATTTTTCGTATATAAAAGTATCAAAATATTATTTTATCCATTATGCGAAACTGAGGCTTAGAGATGGTATTTGGGTTTGGAAGCAGTGGAGGCTAGATTTTTGGAAAGGTACGCACTAGGAATTCGTATTACATTCAAATCCCTTGAGGATCAACTGCTTTGCGACTGTCATGCTGGGAAGACTCTGTAATACTTTCAGAGCGTTCACAAATCTTGTGAGACGATCCGATTTTCCTTATTCACACCTCAACGACTACATATTTTGTGATATATAGTTTCTATAAAACATTCAGGTGTACCATGTTGAATATAAATACTATGAAGTTTGTTGATAAATATGAAAATATTGAATAAATCTCGAACGTGGTAAAGAAGAGGAAATTATGGTGGCACCCAACATTAGATATGATTGTCGTCACGCATTTAATAAAGAGCTATGCTTCATAATCCATCTAAGATGGGATGCCCAACGATTATCTATGTTCATCACCTCCTACTATAAAAAAATAAGATATGGCATACTTCGCCGGTATAGTGAGACTATGCTGCTGGAAATTCATTATGATACATTCATTTCTCTGCTTTCCCAGTCTATGAGACCTTCGAGATTTTCGGTATTTCACAGTGAACCCAATGATTCTCCCTACGATACTGCAGAAATTATGAGAAAGTTGGACCTCTTTGTAAGGTAGCCAGCAGTATTCGAAACCAACAGCTGTAGCTGGCAGCTCCACGAGCATTTGCATAGAGCCAACAAGATGTCCGGTGAACTCATGACCAGCACTGAAGATAAGCGTTTCGTCAAATGTACAAAAAATACTAAAGGGAGATTTCCCAGCAGCTACAGAGACATAAACCTACTCAACGAAGGAGGCATCGATCTTGCCGTTGCTGTTCCAGGCCCGTCCCATGCATGGTTTGCCATGTCGATACCACAGTGAAACAAACTGTTCCTGTTCACCTTTCGGAGTATTGAGGGGCCGATTCAACGCTTTCATTATCGGCCTGGAATTTTTTTTTTGTTTTTCGCCTTTCAGTCGTTTCGCAGAAGCGAGTGCTAGCAAACTTCGAGAACATGAAGAACAGGCGACGAAAAAATTTTGTTTCATGTAATGAAAGACGGTTCAGCCAGCAAATAATAGCCCATACGTGCCCTAGAATGACACATTTCCGACCATATGAGTAAATGTAAGATGAGCCCATGGGGCCGCAAGTGGCGCGCCCTAGTTCAAGAGCGGTAGAGAACGGGAACATCCCCGGCAACCTACTCATGAGAGAGGACCTGAGGGATAATGAACAACTTTTTTGCGCTGATTAGGGGTCACATAGATGAGACACTCGTTAGGATATTCCTTTCCATGGATCAGCACCTGACACCTCTTAGCCGCTGAATGTTCTCGCCCCTCCCCCCGCGAGACTCGCCCCCGTCGCCAACCAGTCTAGCATTTTAAAACAATTGCGTACTCATATCTCTTCCTGTTATTATTATTGTTTGTTGACACCGTAAACTTCTTATGAAGTTGCGTTTGTTTCCTACACGGCCATAAGAACGGCAAAAGCAATTACAGAATCACGCTGGCGCGGGCGCCTATCGCTTACTCTTACAAATCCATTATCTTAACAGTAAGCACCCATTGAGAATTTAATCTTTCCGTCGACTGGTTCTAGTGGGGTACATCACAACTGCAAGATAACTCCTCATACGTTGTTTCGCCTGGAGCAGGCAACGCACTATTCTTCGTCGACGTTTTTGCATAAGATGATGAGTAGGCAGGTAGACGTGGCTGTCGAAGAGATCTGAGTAGAAGTCGTAAATGACCTTCTCCAGTGCCCTTCGAGATGCAGTAACTTTTCCGTCGGGACGACGAAGCGAAGTCATCTTGCTGTTCTAATTGGCAAAGCTCTGACTTTGCGGATGCTCTTTCCAGCCTCGGCGGCTTCGCCCATAACTGCTACTGTTCTCCCTTTCAGATCTTCCTTTATCGCTTCTCTGCATAGCTTCGCAACTTCGGACCTTTGTTGATGATTGCCTGGAGCTTGCGCAATACCACACTGACGCATCAGCTCGAGAGTCTTCGAAGAGAGTCGTCTCTTGGCTAGACTCTCTGCTCTCCTAGCACTATCGTAAACAAGTTGCCAGTTGTATTCTTCATCGATGTTGTCGATAACGGAATCTTCCCATTTACTCGCAAGGGATGCGAAGTGATCCCGGTCGATGGAGGTTTCGGGGCTTCGTTTACTAAACTTGATAGCTCTCTCCACGCACTGTAAAGCGGAATCTAGCGCAGAAGAGACGATGGTCCGATCCTGTATAGAACTTTGATCGAACAGCGACGACAGTCAGGCAAAATATCCGATTGAAAATGATGCGGTCTATTTCATTATGGAACTGTTCACCAGGTGACTCCCATGTCCATGTCAAATGAAAGGGCCTCTGGAATTGCGAGTTGCCATAGATGGTGTGGGTCAACATGATAAACTCGGACAGCCTTTCACCCTGCTTCCCTGCTCATTCCATTCCATTCCGTGAGTCCCAATGTGAAGCTCTTAAGCCGCTCTTTTGGGGACAATCTCGGCGTTAAAATCGCCGACGATGACCTTGAAGAAAGTGTGGTCATCTCTGTAGAGGCTCTCCTCATCCATATGAAACGCCTCCAACTCCTCTTCTTCGTAGCTTGATGTTGGTGCGTAGGCAACGAAGATGGTTAGAGCTGGGGTTAAGCCACATCTCCTTGTTCGCGAACGTCCGATTCGGGTAGTGAAGCTCTCGGATGTTCATGGCCAAGTGCGTACTGACGAGGACACCTACGCCTTCTCGCCTCGGTCAGTCCGATGACGTCGTTCTTGATCTTCCTAGCCTGCATCATCAGGTCTTCTGTACACGCTACCGATCAGGTGTCCGTGCGTTGAAAGTACAGATCGCCATCTTAGTCCTTCCCCTTTGGGCAGCTTGTTTTGGTCCTGAGATTTTAGCAGCCTCTTCCGAGCGATTACCCAACGCTGCGGTATTGATGGCTCCTTCAGGTCTAGGAGAATGAGGCTTATTTCTATTACTGTTTTTGGCGAGTAGAAAATCAACGTACAGCTTGCCAGGCTCTGACGTGGGTCTAGGTTGACTCCAGGCTTTGTTTTTGGAGGCGGTCCCGAATCGCCCAGATATTTCCCAGTCACTCGAATGCAAGCTTTCGACCGACTCGATGGGCAGGATACAAGTGCACCCACAGACTCTCCACACACGTATGCGTGGATACTCCTGCGAGAAACAGAAGGTGTATCCACCCACCACAGCAGAATCAAAGAGTCCATCACCTGAATCCACCTGCGTTTCTTTGCAAGACCGGTGACTTTTGATGGCGATTAATTCCCCTGTTCGCCACCTGGGGATGCCCTACGTAGCCTCGTCACTAACCAGCTGAGGATCCTTCAGTGAGAGAGAACTCACAGTGAAGAAGAATCGCTTAGATTGTTAGGCCGTTTCTCGGCTACGCTTGTTTTTCTCGGTATCTGAGTCGTTTCTAGACCAAACTGGAAAGTTGCGCTCTAAGCACCAGTATTACCTCCCGATGGTGGAGACCGCTGCCCTCCATGCTGATCGCATAATATCACATCGTTTTTTGAATATGGCCTCCCCATATGCTTCTCGAGGCAACACCGAATTCCAAGATATACAGTTAGGCGGAAGCTGACGCTTTATACATAGTACTTTCAGTACTTCATAAATGGCCTTTGTAATGGCTCCCTTGGCCCTGTCTAATGGAAAGTGAAAAGTGCAGCTGCGCTCTACTCATGAGGAAAGACACTTTAGCACCCATCATTTACTACATCTTTGTTTAATTTTTAAAATGGCCCTTCTCCTTATTTCTATCTGATCGACAATCTTAAGTATTTCATGAGAAGTTAAACCTATGAAAACAAGAGTTTTTGGTACCACAATCTCCACGACGCGAGGCCTCAACGCTTGGTGTCGCCATAAGACCCGTGTTCCTTGTAAAAAAAACCTGAGTTTCCCCCTGCAGGAGTCTTCCATCCCTCTACGTCTCTACGTTTATTGAATAGTTACCAGGTTGGAGTTATGTTGCGCCGACTTGCCACTGGCTGTTTACCTGAGCCTTGGTAATGAGTTTTGTTTCGTAGATATTAGATGTATTATACATAAATAAGAAGTAGAAGTTTGTTACACTTTCGTTTATCTTTTCAAGCTTAGCTTACTTGTCTATTGGCCATGGACTTCCACAGACGAAATCGCCCCAGTCGTTCACCACTAGCGGTTTTTGCGTTGCAGTGTTTTCCAGCTGAAAATGTACCGTCAAATCTTATTTGTTAGATGAAGTGAGTCGTAACTTGGCTAACATATCATGAGAGCTTTCAGCAGATCAGTGATATGAGTCTGGCTGTCATGTCGGCAAGCACACCTCCCACATACCCATATTCAAGCTTGCTATAGCGTTCGTGTCAAAAGTGGAGAGGCCCTTTTCAGGATGAAAGCTAATAATTCACTGCCGGTGACAGAGTGGCTGAAAAGTATAAGACGCGCCGTTTGACGCTTAATGGCATCCTGCCGATGAGTATTTTCAAAATCTTCTGGCACTTTTAGGAAGCGTTGGAGCTGTGCAAAGAGCTTTATATGTCATTTGATTGACCGTCCGCTGAACAATCGCTATGAAAGTTTCTGCACATGGGCCCACCATCGAAGACGGTTCCAGGTGACATCGCGAAGCGACTAGGAATCCGTTCTTCAACCATTCGAATGTCTCGGCTGCTCCCAAGACATATTCACACATACACACGCGTACACACTCATACGCACACATAGAGTAACGAATTACAGGCAGCTTTGCAACAAAGTGAACGATTGTGGGAAAGAAGGAACTTACCATGCACTGTGTGCAAGGGCAACCGGGGGGTCCACCGCCCGTGTTTCGAACAAGCACAAGCATATTTGCAAGCGTTGCTGAGTCGCTCACCTGAAGACCTCACAAGAGACGATTCAGAGCGACTTTTTTAATTCCGCTCGGTAGGGGTTTAAGGATTAACCGGAGCTTACCTCGGAAAACTTGTCAGCGTCTACGAAGGAGGCTTTCTGAGAGCCAATGTCGTAATTGCCGAGTACACTCCTTTCTTTCCAAAAAATTGGTGCTGATGATTCGCGATGGACCAACTCCATTTTACCCTTACCATTTTCACTATTGCTCGACTAAAATACGAAGGAATGCTGTCAGAATGCGGGTATCCATGCTTTTCACTACAAGAACTCCGGGTGCCTGTTCAGAGAACTATTCTGCATCCCTTCGAATCTCTTATTAACATTGTTTCGCGAGTAGACCACAACCCAGGAAACATAATGGGAAGTCATGTACCCCCCGGCTTTCTCTAGCGCTGCTCTCTTTGGAATTCTCAGTCGGATGCGCCACGCTCCTTCCCTACTACGACTTGGGCACGTTAATCTAGTGCGATCTATCAACCTATAAGCGAGAAGGGATGTAAACCCGGACTAATCGCAGAACATGTTGTCATCCTTTGATTCCCCCACAACTTGTTTTCGTAATTTTCCAGCCACCACGATTTTTGTACACCTCGCATTTACTCGTGAATACAAGCTCATCCAATTAGCAGTGCTGGCTGAGCCACGCAGAAGATCACTACAGAAAAATGCTAACAATAGCAAAAGTAAACAGAAAAGTTTGTGATCAAAAGTGCTGCCTCAATTTTACTGGAAAAGACCCAACTAAAAATTGCAGCAGAAAAGAAGAGAGCTGGGTATAAAGTGGTCAGTGCGATTAGGATCGATTTTATTCATTCAACAAGAACCGTCCAAGAATTTAATTTAATATATTTCCCAATGCTACTCGCAACAGAGCGCCACGCAGGCACATGTGAGCGGTGCGTGCAGCACACACGCACCACACACATGCCACACACACCCTCACACACCTCACTCTCTCTGTTCCCCAGAAAAAGGTCATTGTTGAGATCAAGCTAGAGAGATAGAAACTTTGTA